ACTTTAGTTGTCCTTCGCCCTCCCCCACAACAAACAATTTTGCCATCCTTGCGTCCAACACAACAAAGTCTCTTTTGCTGCTCTACACCTATCTATCTCAGTTTGTCATTCTTCCCTCCTCGCCCTCTCTTCTGTTGTCCCTTCTCTCCTCTCTTCTCTTCTGTTGTCCCTTCTCTCCTCGCCCTCTCTTCTGTTGTCCCTTCTCTCCTCGCCCTCTCTTCTGTTGTCCCTTCTCTCCTCGCCCTCTCTTCTGTTGTCCCTTCTCTCCTCGCCTGTTGTTCTTTTCCTTCTCTTTTTGTGAACCTGTTCCTTCCTACATCTTCCAGTCTCTTTCTTTTTACCCTTTCTATTTCTTCATTTTTTTTTCTCTATCCTGTTTTTCATCACAGGTGCCCTTTCTTTTTATCTGCCACTACCCATGTTATGAAACAGCCCTACATCATTAACACACAAATAAATCTTTTAAAAAAAAAAAAAAAGGTGAATGGGGATGGTATAATCTAACCTGTCCACCCACTTTTCTTCTTCTGATTGATATATCTTCCTCTAACATCTGTCAATCTTTGTGAATGATCAGCAGATATGTCAGTTTAGAGGTGGAGCTTCAACTCCTAACTCCACCTCTTTTGTCTGTGACACTCCTCAATGAACATATCCCTTCATTCCATGAGGATCTTCTGTCATCTTTTTCTTCAGCCACTTCTTTACATCAACCAAACATGCTTTCAACATTAACCATGCTTATCTTCCTGCCTAAATGTTTAACATCATCTTACTTGTCTCTCTCAATTTCCTTTTGCAACCAATCAGGATTAAAAAAAAATAATAATAATTTATCAGTGCTATGAAGAAAATTACAAGTTTCCACATCACACTTTTCATATATAAAAATATATGAAGCCTTTACACTAACAAGACTGCTAAAAGCTATCATCAAGTTTAGTGTCAAAATTACAATTTTTACTTTTCATTTTAAAATTAATAAGATCTTCAAAAAAGATTATTGAATAAGGATATGAAAATATTACAGGCGTATTAAAAATATAAACTATTTTGCTCTCAGTTCAAAAGTTGTTTACCAAAATGTTTGAAATTGTTCACCAAAATTGCTCCACTTATTTTCACATCTGCTATTTTAATCTATTTTTTCCAATCAAATCAATTTCCATCATTTTAGGTTTTTTAATATTTCTTATCATTTGAATTACTAAAATATCGCATCTTTCCATATATTTTTAAGAATTATTCTATGAATAGTTTTAGAATTCAGTTCTCATGACTTTAACTTGACGCAATTTCAAAAATTTATTCAAACATTTTAGCTCAAGTTTTGCTCAGATTAAAAATGTTTCTTTCTGTTCACACCAAAAAAAAGAAAAAACGAAATATTTCGTGTCTACATGTACGTACAATTTCAGTAGAGAAGTTACATAGGAAACTGAACTTTGTACTATCCACTCATTACATCTGTAAATATTATCTATTACAACACACACACACACACAGTCCTATTAACTAAAAAAGTAACAGACTACAAAACTTATAGAATGGATATGTTTACTATTTTGTATAAAAGTGGGAGATATTGCTTCAAAGCTATCTTAACTGCTAAACCACCTAATCTTTTAACTGTTAAATTCATAAAATTGACTTTTGGCTGTAATTGCTATTACCAATTATTACTGTAGAGAATTTTTAAGTTTTTCTTGCTCAAGAACAAGACTACAATAAATGGAACAATCAATTAGCAGAGTTCTGTAAGATTTTTAGCCATTACCATTGTCCCAATTTTTCTATTTTATTTTTTGTTGAAACTTGATTAATGCATGGAATAATAATACAACACAAAATGTACTTAGAACAAAATGTATTGAAACAAGAAAGTGTACACAATATTTACATATAGTCTTTTGTATATTCCTGGTAAGACCGTTCCTGGAGAATGTGTTGACTGAGTCGCAGTCGGGCAGAGTCTCTGGTTGAATCTCTTGATTCCTCCCTCTCTTCCCTGTACCAACCATATTTATATGGTTGGTACTCCACTATGTAAATTAGGTGGATCCTACCACATTTTTCTATGACTGGAAATATGTCTATTTAAAAAAGTGGACTACTGTTGTATTTTAAACCATATATATATATATATATATATATATATATATATATATATATATATATATATATATATATATACACACACACACATTTTATTTTAGGATAATTACATCAACATGAGTATAACGCTACATAAATGCAATCATGTTTCAATGCGTACCAACACATCTCATGTTGGTACACATCAAAACATGATTGCATAAAAAAAAAAGAATATAGCTCTACTTTTGTATTGAGACCTTTTTTAAATTAATGTTGCGAACGTTGGAATTTATATTTGCTTCGTTCTCAGTTCACATGATATATATATATATATATATATATATATATATTATCAGGCATTATGATCGTGATTGTACTATTCTGAAGAGCATGTCTTACCAGCAAATTCTTCTGTTTCATCTGAACTCTTTCTACTGCATTTACTTCCCATTAGCCCACCAACCAGGTAACCTTTCCCTAACATTTGGTATGTGTCATGCCCCACCCTACATCTTTGTTGCCATTTAATCACTTCAGTTCAAGATAAGAAATATATATTAAACAAGTTTTATTAAAATCATCCAACAAAGTCTGTCCGTCTTTAATTTCTTTCATTACATTTTTACCTTTTGCATATTAGTTGTCTCACATCCAGATGAAAATTATGGAGAAACTGTTTCAAGTTCATGATGTATTTGAGTTCTTTTGACCATTCCTAGTCATTAACAGAAATGTCCTCGCTATCAATACCTTAGAGAAATGTTTTTATTGGCTTTATTTTTTATATATATATATATATATATATATATATATATATATATATATATTATTTAAAATATGATTTGACATGAAATCCCATGTTTTGAAAACAAACTTTTGATTTCAATATAATTAAAAAATTAAATTTCAGTTAAAACACGTTATTAAAAAAAAAAATTTTTTTTGAAGATGGAATAGAGCTTATTTTAATTTCAATTTAATTTAAATAATTATATTGAAGTTTTCGTTCTTGTTTTGAAAAACATGGACTTCTTATGTGGATGATTTGGAATCATATTTTTAAATAAATAATTATATTTATGCTCTACTTTTGTATCGAGCACTATTTTTTAAAAATAATGACTAAAATACTAAGGGACATTGGATTATTTACCTAACCAGTTCCTTCCTATTTTCTATATATTTTCACATATCATATATATATATATATATATATATATATATAGCTTTAAATGTACATATATTGTATACAAGGGACATATATAATGATTTGTAACTATATTTTAGGAGTATACATTTTAACTTGTAAAAAAAATAATCTGTTAGGTGTGATAAAACTTGACAGTACCTGAGAGTGAAAATATTAAATTTTTGAAGCACAATTTAAAATGCTGCTCACTGTAGTGATTGTGTTTAATGGGGCTTGCTTTTTTCTTATTATTCTTTTGAATATCTTTAATTTTTCTTTACAGTGAGTGCTCTATAATATTTTAGTATTTTCTTATGTTAATAGTTCTATTTTGGGTGTTTGTGATTGAATAGTGAAATTTGTAGGCATATCAACAAATTTTTGATAAGTAATAACCACCCTCATTTAAAAAAGGATACCTCTTGTGTGTGATAAGGAAGTGTTAGAAATTTCATCGGCCAACCAAAAGGTCTTTAAAAAATTTTGACGATAACTTTCCAGCACCTACTCAATCATGCAGAGAACCCAACTAAACAATACTTAATGAATATAAATTTTTAGATTCTCTTTTTGCAAGTGGGACAGGTTGTTGTAAAAACTTCCTTGCTTTTATTATGCAAATGAAGGTCATAATTTTCACATAAAACAAATCCTTTCTTTTTATGAACCAACCAAAAGCTTTATCTTTACCAGCACTTTTGACATGTTGCAAAGAATGTGACTTGGATTTATAAAATGTAACTCGTATTATTAAATAGTGTGGTTTGTAAACATTTGAAGAGTCGGGATGTACATGATGTCATTACTTTTTTTCTTACATTAATTTCACAATACCTCAATTATTAATGTGTTTGTTTAGACATGCATAGACATCATCAATCTGACTTAAAATTAGGTACCTCCACTTTTTTGGCATAAATTTTCGATACCTAAGTTTTAAAATGAATTTATAAAAATAAAAAAGCATTCTTGAAGATTTCATTTTAGTTTAAATTGAAAGCTAAAGGATTAAATTTATTATTTCCAGTAAGTAAAATATTCTGGTGTATTTCAGATAAAAATTATATAGATTAGAACATCAAATATTTGTTCGATTTCTTAAAATTTTCTTAAAAGAGGCTATTTTCTTAATTTTTAGAAATTTATAAACAAATTTATCAATTTTAAAATTCTTCCAAAAATATATATATATTTCTAACACATTATTTGAGTAGAATTAGAAAATCTAAAGTTAAATTAATCTAATTTGAAATAAATATTACTTACTTATTAAATAAAAAATAATACACAATCATTTCTTCATGGGTCCTATCTTTCTTTGATCTTTATTGACATATAGGTAAGATTTCAAGGTGATGACAGGTCTTATGGATGATTTTTAAACTATTATAAATTATTATAATTAAAATTTTAAAAAATGAAAAAATACTTATGAAAATTTATTATTCATCAGAAAAAATTTTATTTCTTCAGACAATAGTGTCCTTAATATAACTTATTTACAAAAGCAATTAAAAGCTTTTCTAATTGAATAATGTCATTGTTTTATTGCATTTATTATTTTTCAATTCAGAGCAGATTTTCAGTTAGAATAGTGAAAGTTTGAAAAACAAATTAGATGATTTACATTCTCCAAGGAGTCCTACTTTCATCTTGAGCAGTTTATAGTGTTACAATTTGTTGTTATTAATATACACTACTTACTTTTTGCCAGGGCGGAGATGTAAAGATGCCACCTACAGGTCCAGCTGGTTTTACTGCCCCACCTCCACCACCTCCTCCACCACCACCAATGGATGATGATGATATTTCAAATGCTCAGGTTGATATTGACAGAGATGCTTTGTTCAAGGAATTAAGTAAAGGAACTGAAATTACTAAAGGTAAGTAATTATATATATATATATATATATATATATAAGCTTAAATGTCATCCAATAGGGTGGCATTTAAGCTAGCTCCTGCAAAAGGCTCTTGATTGGGCCTTCATCACAATAGGTAGATACGATAGACAACAATAAACTACAGAAGTCGTCAAAATTGATCACTGCATTTAAGTTTTGCATGAATATGTAAGCTTACCTTTTAAAAGTTCAATAATTCTTCTGCCACCACTTCATTTAAAGACAACTTGATGTATGTAGGCCCTTACTTTCCATACAAACAATTATTTTTATTTCATGGGTGACTTTCACTGGATTTTACAATTTTTCCAAAATTTATTTCCAAGTTTATAAAAATTGTTATCATACAAAAAAATTTGTTGCAAAAATCACAAAAAATCCCCAAAAACAATCACAGTAATGAAAACTTGTGAGTACAAAATTTCAGGATTGCATGTCTGGATTCAGCTTGGGATGTTTTATTTTGCTCACAGACCCAGCCTGATTACAGTATCTTGGGCTACAGCTTCTAGGAATAAAGTTGAAAAAGTGTGACACACTGACACACTTTATATATATATATATATATATATATATATATATATATATATATATATATACACACACACACAAGGACTGACCAAAATTAACAATAAAAAACAAATGAAAACTGTAGACAAAGTTCGCTTTCTTCAGAGACAGTCATTCACTCCTGTTGCGGGGATTTTTTTTTCTCCTTGATTGCTGTAGGCTGATGATCTTTTCCTACATCAGCCTACAACAATCAATCAAAAACCTGAAAACTTTGCTTGGAGGAAAAAATAGCTATTATTAACTTCCCAGACCAAAATAAATTACTAAATAGACAATCTGAGCTCATCTCTAAATGCAGACATGAAAACAAATTTTTACTACATTACTTAAAAATTGAAAACTGAAATGAATAAATACAAATAAACAAAATAATATAAAAAAACAATGAAAATAAATTAACCCAAACAATTAACAAATTAACAAACCACTCCTGTTAGAATAGACGAAATAGAATAAATAAAAATAAAATACATAAAAAAACAAGTAAAAACAATCAACCCAAATAAGTAAATAGAGTAAATAATAATAATAAACTAATTATCAAACCAATCCCACCAAAATAACCGTCAGAATAGACTACAACAACCAATCCAAAAATTGGAGGTAAAAATAGCTATGACTGCTATATATCAATAAAAAAAAACATCACTACGTTACTCAAAAATTGAAAACCAAATAGAATAAATAAAAATATACAAAATAAAAAATAAGTAAATAAATAAAAAAACTAATAAAAATTAATCCAAATAAATAAATGAACAAATTAACAAATCACCCCCGCTAAAATAACTGTTATAACTAATAAAAATAAGCATAAATAAGCAAAAACAAGTAAAAATAATCAATCCAAATAAATAAATTAAAAACTGTCCACCCGCCAAAATAACAGAATAGACTATGGTAAGCAATTTAAACATTGGATGATTAGATAGCTTTAATTATCTTCCCAGACCAAAACAAACTATTAAATAAGCGACCTAAGCAAATCCCCACCCCCAATTTTTTACTACGTTAATAAAACAGCAAAAAACGAAAAGAATAAATAATACAAAATGAAAATGAAAAACAAAATAAATTAACCCAAACAAATAAATAAATTAATAAACAAACAAGCCACTCCCACAAAAATAACTGCTAGAATAGATTACCCACAATGCACCACTGACCCATATATATAAATAGCCGAAGAAATATCCAGCATTTGCAGTCTGACGATTGTGTCCAGCATGAAACAGCCTGTCACCTCTGAGTGTTGACTTCAATGTTCACTATATATATATATATATATATATATATATATATATATATATATATATATATATATATATAAAGCATGAAAAGTGTAATCAGAGAACTAAGTTCAAATTTCAGTCGATTTTTCTTTATTCACTTTCCACTAATGCTATTTGGAAAAGGCATGAATCCATCTTTCCCTAAGCTATGAGTTAAATAGCAAACTAGACCAGAGTCTCTATGAGTGACAGTCACTCTAAGAGAAGGAAGACTCCAAATTCAGGCCACACCCTTTCCTCTGTGTACTGTCAGTTGGAGATTTTGGGGCACACTGTGCTCTATTTTTATGCTACCAGATCTTCTGAAATGTGTGGCTGGTTCAGCACAAATCTTCACCATTTTAAACAAATCATTTCTCTGTACGTATGTGTGTGTGTAGTCTGACAGTTCAGTTCTAAACCTGAACTGTCAGCTTAAGTAGCACTGAATTTCAACAAGAAAGTCTACCATATCAGTCAAGAACTTTGTTACTGCTAGCAGAGCAGCCATGTTTACACCATAATAGCAGCAAGAAAACTGGTGCAATCAAGCTTAAAATTCAATCACATGACCGCAGTAGAACCAACTCTAAGCAGGCATGTACAGAAAGCAGTGTGATAAACTTAACAATATGTTATGGCAAAAGTGTGGATAATTTTTGACTTACATTCATATTTTGTCCCTTTAATTCAGGATTTGGATGGTTCTGCAAGAATAGATTTTGTCTGAATTTCTGGGATGACAACTTTTGATTATTTACACTATTTATATGCAGACTTTTGTCCTCATCTTTGTTGCTGTTGTCACAACATTTCAGCTATTGTACCCTCCGAATTTCATCAGGTGTATATCAATCCAGGTAACCTACATTAACCTTTCAATTCAGTATTTCCTATAGGTTATTCAGTTTGATATGCAACTGATGAAGTCCAGAATGTGCAATGGCCAAAACGTTATGATAACAAAGATGGACAGTAATCTACATGTAAATAAAAACAGATTCATTTTATAAAGGAATTTCATGTATTCCTGTGATTTAAACCAGAAAAACCATTTATATAGTGCTGTATACAGTTGGATGCACACTTTTTGTATGTTTACATATTTTTTTTCCATGTCATCTTAATGTCAACACCATCCGGACAGCAAAGGGAAGAATATACTTCATGACTTGGTTGAACTGAAAACTTTTTCTAATATGTTTGTTAAAGTAGTATGAAAAATATAGGTTATCTCCCCTTGGTTGATAAGAAACCCAATAGGGAATTGAGTCCATTGATCTGATAATAATGGGTAAGACCCAAATTGCCAAAAGCAAGGAGGCTCTTAGACCAGAGAGCTGAATGTATGTGTTTAAGACTCCTCCAAAGAACAGTTGATGCTGGCCATGAGCAACCTGAATCATGCTTCGACAAGCAGCAATTGGAAAAAGAATGTGAGCAGCATCAGATAAGTATTTCAATCAATTTCAAACAGATATATATATTTGGACCTTGTCATCAATGCCATGACATTAACTGCTAAAGGAATATGTTTTAGAAATTCTCTATTCTCGTTCTCATTGTATAATGTATTGTATAAAGTATGCCTTTTAAACTGTTCAATTGTCTTGTCTTTTGTTCATTTGCCACAATTCATTTGGGGAGTCACTAAATTTCCCAAGGTAGTGCTTGAGGATGAATTCTATCTCTGTATTCTTCCTGCTACCAATTGTAATGTTAGTGGCTGGGTCAGTCTGTCAATCTGTCCATTCCTTTGATTTGTCTTGATGTTATCAAGAAGAGGATGTAAAGATGATGTGCCTACTTAGTGCCGATCCAAAAATGCTTCCTGCCTTCTTGTCTGTCAATCAACGGACAATGACAGATGCCAGATGCAAAGTATTTCTGAAAAAATACCAGATATGGGGGATAAAAATCAAAACCAGTATTCCAAGGAAACGTCAACCAGTGAACAGAACTTTATTAAAACTTCAAAATGGTTGCTTATTTAGTGGAATACTTTCATGAGATGGGCTAAGTACCTGAAGATTGTTAGTGAACAGGTGACTGAGCTGAAGATAAACTTTTTCCATTGTTTTAATAAGAGGTACGCTATAATAAGCTCAAACACACTAATGATGAATTGAACATTCCTGCTCTTGGAAATGTTACTTAATAATTCCAGTATTTCTAACTAGACAAATGTTAGGTTGACAATTTTATTAATCAAAGACATGAAATACTGAATTCAAAAAGTTTGAATTAGAATGGAACTTGAATACTCACTGAGTGGTATGCATTGGAAAATAAATATAATGTGATAAAAGGCTTATGGCCATATCACATTAAAACACTAGTTCACCGAAGTTAAGCCATATTCAGCCTGATTAGTACCTAGATTGGTGACTGCTTGAGAATATCAAGTGTTATAATGGATTACAGTTCAGAATTCAAAATTAGAAAGCCAAGTTTAAATTCCAGCCAGGTTAGTCATATTAACTTATGCCCAAATAGTCTTGGAAAGGTATAAATCCACATCTTCCTCTGGCTATGGGCTAATTAATAGGACTTGTATCAGTAAATCATTATTATCTCCCCAAAATTCTTACAATCTGAAAGTTTTCTGGCTTTAAATAACCTAAAAAAGGTTGATAAGCCATAAAAATAACCAAATCAATCCAATCCAATTGAGTGCAAAGTGCTAGCCTCTGAGATCCATCAAGACATATTAATCTACTTCCTTCCACTTTGTTGTCAATGTGAGTTTTGCTGATAATGGTGTTTTGTTTGTTTCAACATTATTTCTAAAAGTCAAATCATAGTTTTAATTGAATATATGGCATAGAAAACAAATTTGGTTATTGTGGCTGTAAAAGAAAGCAGGATAATGGAAACTTTGATATATGCACACACATGTACACACAAAAAACAATTTAAAGCATTGTAAGTTCATGTCATAGTTTTTATACCTGAGTTAAGAGATGATGTGATGATTCAATGAATTGAGATGCTTTAATGAAAAATAAGTATCCACACACACACACACACACACACACACACGTGTCTACATTGAGTCTCTCATTTTTCTTCTCTTCCTCCTCCCACACCTCCTCGCAAGGCTGAATGTATTCATGCATAATTCAATTGAGATCA